CGCCCAGAGGCTGCGGTTACTTGGATGCACTCCACACCTTTTCTGAAGCAAAGGCACAGGAGCAGGAGTCACAGGAAACTCCTTTGCTTTAGCTTGAAGCCGTGGCTCCGAGGCCTTCAAGCCCATTTGGGATGAGTACAACAAGAAGCTCATCGAGCGAGTCGAGAAGGTCTACGGCATCGTGCCTTGGGCGGAGGTTGTGGTCGGGTAGGGCAGTTGTCAGATGTTGCCAAAAGACCCGTCGGCTGTATTTTGTCAGCAGATTTTCGCGAGAACCAGTCTAAGAAGCATGTAGCGTGTTTGCAGCTCATGCCGAATTAAGTCCGATGAGCCCATCCGCTGGAACGGCGACTACTACGACAACAAGCTGAGCCCATACAAGCCTGCCAACGGCCTCGGCTGGTACAACAAGTGATCTTTTTGAAGACAGGTCTTTTACCACCCGTCCGTTTCTGGCGTCTCATCTCATCAGCACACTGTACTCCGGGTGTAGACTCGTAGACTCGACTTTCGAGCCGAACAGAACAACTTCAGCTTTCGAGAAGACGGACTTGAATGTTTCGTGAATGATTCTAAGCAGTGGTGAGATGACATGCCTATGCATCGCGTGCTGTCCACTCGGCTGCTGCTGGAGCACAAAAAGTTTTCGCGATCGTGTGGAGACGACAGATCACACATGCATCGCTTCTTCTGCTTTGCGCTTCTTGTAAGATAACAAAACATGCAGGCAAACAGACAAGCAAAGACAAAAACAGACGCACAAGCACAAGATACCAAAAGGTCAGTGCAACTTGTCATCAAGCGCAATCTTCAACAGCCTTCAACAGCTGTAGACATCAGTATTAGAGTCTCTTCGCTTTTGGTCAGTGCAGTTCGTCGACCTTCCGCAGCAGCGGCTCAGAAACAGATCCACAGATCCGCAGAGATTTTATCAACAGGCTTTTCATAAAGCCAAAATGGCCGTCGGTGCCTCAGCCTTTGGAGTGTGGGGGGATTGGGGTGCAGAGAGCTCGTAGTTTTCATTGCGGCCACCCTAAAGCCCCAACCCTAAACGCTAAACCCTACACCCTAAACCCTAAAGCCCCAATCCTAAACCCTACACCCTAAACCCTAAACCCCAACCCTAAACCCTAAACTCCTTGAGGCCAAGACTTTCACCGTTGCCGCCGCCGCCACCGCCGGAGTGTGGCTTTGCAGCGAGGCTTTCGTGCCCGGCGCACAGGTCGCACGCGAGGTCCAGGCCCGATACTGCTCCAGCTATAATTTTAGCATCGTGTATATATATATATATATATGTAGAGTACAATATCTATAAAGTATCATAATTTTAACATAGTATAATCTAGTATAGTATTTATGAAGTATCATATGGTACGGACCACTCTGTACTGTGCGATGCCATCGAGACTATGCTATAGCTCCCTCTTTCACGGTCCGGCACTGTCCTTCCTCGTCGCAGGCCCCCGCGGCCCACCT